TTAAATTAGTAAATAAATTTTAATAAATCTATTTAATTAATTTAAATTTAATATTAAAATTAAATTAATAAATAAATTTCATTCAGAAAATTATTTTCAAATAATTTTTACAACTGTTGGAGGCATAATTGTAAGGCTAAAAATGACAAAAAAAAAAAAAAAAAAAAAAAAAAAAAAAAAAAAAAAAAACGCAAGGCATAATATTTGCACACTATTTGACGGAATCTATGTAGGAAAATATTACTCATTATTTCTGAACAGAAATGATCTTATATCAATATATCAAGATAAAAAATAAATATAAAAAAATAAGAACCGCATAATTATTGAAAGTAGAAAACTCTCTAAGTAGTTTTCATAAAATTTTAAACGGATTCTTTCGACTAATTTTGAATAGTAATAATAAGCGAAATTTTACATAAATTAAAACTATTAGAGTTAATTTAATTTTTCTTGGTATATACACATTTAAAAGGTTGCTAACCTTTTCTGAAGAACAAGAAGAGTCAATTGGTATCTATAATGAAGAAGAAGAAGAGTTATGAATTTTTAAAGAATAATAACTGAAAATTCATAAGTTTAAAAGAAAAGATAATGAATCAATTATTCTGCTTCAGTTTTTTCATCTTATTTTAAAATTAGTAATTTTTACTTTCTGAAAAGCAGTGGTTAATATTTTATATTTATATTAAGTAAGGGTGTTTCGTGAAGCTCTTCCACCAAGAAAAGTGAAAACTTCTTCAAAATCGTCAGTTTATCGAGATTTTTTCGTCAAACTGAAAATTATTGAAATCTATGAATGATTCGTCGTATTTACTGAGTACAGATAATGCAGCACTGGAGTAACTTTCCAAACAATAAAAAGCTAGATTGCAAACACTTTTCATTTGCACAAAATTGTGACTTTTTATCTTGTTAAAGTTTTGCGCCATTTTCATTATTAACTGGCTAAAAAAATGATGAAACGTAATATAGCAATCAAGAATAACCGTTGCTAACTCACAAATCACAAGAGTTATAAAAATAGCATATTATTCTTAAAAACGTCATATTACATGGCAATAGAGATTTTGTATAAAAAAGATATTTAAATGAATATTCTTTTCATAACTGTATGCTGGAGGAACGTGTACATCAAAATAAAAATTAAAGGGAAGCAAAACTTTGGGTTTGGATTTCGATTGCCTTCGATCTAAATGTCCAGAAATTTTTTTTTGACACTTTACAAGAGTCTATTTCAAAAATCAAAAGTCTATTAGCTTCTATTTTTCCTTAAGAGTTTTATTCAAAATATCATTTTGTATTGACATGCAAAAGAGATGCTTGTTTTTTTTTAATTTTTTTATTATATAGAAGTCTCCGAAATGACTGCCCTTAGAATGTATTTTTAGAATCTTTGTAAAAAATGAAAGCAAAAAGTATAAGGACATCAAAGGTCGTAAAGTAAACGAAGTAAAAACATAAACATTGAAGAAATCTGATAAATTACAGTAGAGGAAGATAGCTATACTAAACATTAAACCAGGTTTAATTGAATGTTGTTTCTTTTAATTGAAACTAAAAATGTATTGATATATTAATAATTCTTTTTTCAAACAAAACTGAAACATGAATTATATTTTCGTTCTTTTAATGCCATATTTGGATAAAATGAATCATACCGCGAGCTTTATTGTAACAATAGCTTATATATATCAAATTTCTCGTCCGTGTTATATCAAGGATCTATAAGTTTCGTAATATGAAGAGCAGGATCTATTTCGCTTCTCCTCTGTAAATAATCTAAATTTCATCTTAAAGACCCAATTGCTGATATCAATAACTAGAATATTTATCAGATTTCTTATCATCGTAGTCTTTCGTATATTGGATAAACACAAAGTACCCCAAATCTTTATCTGAATGAATTTCAGTGATAGGATTGAGCTTTTTTCTGCTAAAATCACACAACACTTTTCCTCAATCACTTGTTTAGGTTTATGGAAACTACGTCATATATCGAAAAAATATAATTATCCTGTTAATGTTCTTTGAAGTATCCAAATATATTTGGAAATTTATTTATCTATTTTATATTACAACGTCCGCGGTTTTCATCATAGTCCCAACCACTCCGTTTCTTATGTTTCTCCTTTTGTTTGTAACATTGATACAAACAATCGGTAACATTCGGTGCAATTTGATGTGTTATTTGATATCTTTGTTTGTAACATTGATACAAACAATCGGTAACATTCGGTCACATAACATTCGGTGCAAAAGAATAGGATTTCTTGTAAAATTTGTTTTCTCTTCCTAATTTATCTACTGTTTGTTTTTCATTTTATAACTTGTTTTCAATTTTCTTCTGTATCTCTGTGTTTCATTCTTTCATTCGACCTCTGGTGAAGGTTCTTCATTCTAGAACAGAAACTTTTAGTATGTCTGTTCATGTTGCTCAATATTATTTATAAATACCAAAGTACTTTTCAAAGTTTTATACCCAAAGCTCAAAAGCTCCTTTTTTTAAGTAAGGGATTTTATTATAGTATTTTATCGACCGACATTATATTATTATTTCATTGACAGAAAATGAACATCTCTCTCACTAATTTCTTCCTTCACTTTGAGGCTTTGCATTTTGCTCAAATATTAGTATATACTGATTCAAATTTGAATTTATAGGATTTTTAAATTCGAGCATTATTTGTTTATGCGATTATGACACATTTTTACTCAATTTTGAGAAACCCTTTATTTTTTAAAAAAAGTATACACGCTTGTCATTAATTTAACGAGAGCTTTCATAGAAATATTGATCAGAAAATTTACAGAAAATATATGTTTTTCTCGCAAGAAGTTTTAAAAAAATGCTAAATCAAATTTTTTCTAATACATTTATTTCGAATACATATTTGGGTAAAATTTCTCTTTAAAACTAATGTAAAAATATAAGGATAGTTTGCACCGAAATCCAGGTTTATTGAAGTAGTGGTTTTCGAGAAAATTTCTCTCTTGTCTGGAAATTTGCAGTTTTCAGAAAAAAGTCATCAAAAAGATTCCAAGAGTAAAGTTAACGAATAGCATAAAAAGTACTCTATACTTTTATCTACTTTGAAGCATCGTCTGTAGTTTGTCATGAGCAACATTATCGAATACATTTACACTTATTAAAACTCTGCAACAAAATAATAGTTCTTTCCTGTATTCAATTCTTTTCAATATTCTATTTCAATTCTAATTTTTATTTCCATATTATCTTTTGCATTTTATAATATTGCTAATGTCATTAATTTGACCAACATGATAGCAGTTTTAACTATTCAATTAAGAAATCATTTCATTAAATCTTTCATTACTATGCCATGTTAAGGTTATAAGTATTTTTTAAATAAAAAATCTTTCAACTATAAGTAATTACTAACCGTAAGTTAATTACAATGTGCTTTTAATATTTCCAATGTTAAAAATCATATTTTGCAATCGCTTATGTAAGAAATACTTGTAACATTTTTTGACAGCTCTGTTAGAAGGTATAATAAATAATTACAATAAATGGTAACGATCTTTTGAAAAAAAATTGTAGTATTAGATTTCAGAACAATAAGTTCAACGTAAAATAATGCATTATAAAAATAAATTTACACAATTGCAAATTTTCTAAAATAAATAAAGTAAAAAAAATAAAAGAACAGGAAAAAGCTTGAACTTCAAATTCATTAGAAAATGTCTGAAATTAAACATTAAATCTTCTCCAATATGTAAAAATATGAATCTGACTTTTTTAAACACAGGACTTTCTAATTATACTTAACTATATTAGTAAAAATAACTTTCTTATAATAAATAACATTTCTTTTATCAAATGAAATTATTTCATAATATAATCTTTGTTTTAACCATTAACTACCACATTAATTAAAACAAATCTCAGTTTATAAATTTTATAAAGGAAAATGAGGAGCAAAAAATAATCTCATTCGAAACTTAAACTTATCATTTGCTGTTTTTTTATTTTTCATTTTTAAAACTATGTTATTTTATCTATAAACAAACTAACTTAAAATTATTACATCATGCTATTAAAATAATGGTACTAGATGCAGGAAATTAATGAATTTAAATAATTAAAACTGTTAAAATAAACGACCTAGTCTAGTGAATAATGATTATAAATAGAAACGAACTTAAATAATTACTTAAGTGTTCAAACATTAATCAGAATCAATATCGTAAAGTTACGCAAAGAATTTAGGAACTTGCAAATAATAATGAAATAAGTAACCGCAATTATAAAATATGATCCATTAAGATTCGAAGAAGAGCGAAAAAAATATTTTTTTAATGATTTTACTTCCAGGGGAATGAGATTGGATCGGAAATTAAGATCTTATAAGCCCCAAAGTTAACCATTGCTCAAAAAATCGTCATTGGATTACTACGTTTCCTTAATTTTTCAATGTCAAAAATTAAATATAAAAGATTCGAGCAGCGAGTAGCGAAATGTCAAACTTCATCCTCCTCATTTTTTTATTTCACCTCTAATAACTTTACAAAACATTAATCATACATTAAAACGCTATTTCACTTCACTTCCGAATGGAATGACTTTTTTTTTCATTATCGTTTTCATTCTTATTATCCATTCTTTTAGCTCAGCGACGCAATTAGAAAGCCACTACGGTCGCCGCTAACTTCATGAAGATCGACGGGAGAAATATTTATCTCCGTTTTAGTGGACAGAGGTAATCAACAAAATGCCGTTTTCCAAATCGTCGTTTTCTAATTGGAGGAAAGAGCTCCTTAGTTTCTTTTCACACTTATTTGTTTTTATTTTGAACACTTCGTAACATCACTCGTTTATCTCCTCAAATCTGGGCCTCTAACGACTGCATTTAGAATGTTGTTAAGGGCATTCTGCCGCTAGGGAAACGCCTCTCGCATGCTTTTCACCAATAGGAGAATTTAAACTGAGTGATGTCATAAAATGGCCCCGCCTACTGAGAAGTTGGCGGCGGAGTCTTGCGGCTGGCAGGCTCCAGTATCATTGCTGTTTGTGAAGCGAAATAATCCAACGAAAAGTGATTCTTGAAGTGTTACTTGCATGAGGTAATTCTGGACGAATATAATTCATATCTCCAAAAGGCATATAGCAAAGTAAGCAATTATTTTTTCTATTCATCTTACTAAATGTGATTTTGTTCAGAATTGTTTCGGCTAAATTCGATGATTTTTAAAAATCGAACGTTGAGACAAAATTCTGCTTAAAAACTGTTTTATTTTGAAGTTTTTCAAACTTTCAATTTAAGTTTCAATTCTAATTTCATTTTTTAATTTCAACAATGATGAGTGTAAAATGCCTGGTTAATATCGTAAAAGGTTAAAATTCTAGTTGTAAACATAACTTTTTCAGTCTAATTGAAGTTTAAATTTAAATTAGACTAATAAGCACATAGAAAGTTAAAAATTTTTTTAAATTATCTAACTGATTATAATTTTAATTGGAAAGTTAATGCCTAACTCTATGATCTTTTTAAAACAATTATCGAATTAATACAATAAAAAATCATTGTTGCTTACTTAGTAAAACTGTTATGTGTAGTGCTTTTCACACTTTCAGTTCCATGAATTCTATTCTATTCTTACCTATGAATGAATTCTATTCAAAGTTAATTCTAAATTGGTTTAAAATTTTAATACGGTGATAGAAGTCTGAGTAATATCTAATAAAAGTCAAAATTTTGATTATAAAAAAGCATCCCATAAACTTTTTTGGAGTCTGCAAGCATAAATGACAATAAGTTTCATCAATAAGCATTTCCATGCTATACCAATAAGCTTTTTTTTTCTCATTGGTTTAAAACTTTTGTAAGTGTTAATTGATTATTGAAATTATACAAATATTTATTGTTTATGAAGTTTTTCTAAAATATTCTTTACTTAGAAATTCAATTTATTTCAAATTCGATTCAAAAATATATATCTTAGATGATATTTTCTTTCAATTGTCAACTCTTGTGAATAATTTATTCTGATTACTTTATTAAAAATAAATGTTAATTCTCGTGAAAATGTCTACGATTGATTCATTAATGCAATTAAATATTTTAACTATTGATCATTCATCAATATTATTTATTTATAGTTTAATTGTTTTTATTGGTAAGTATCACAGATATCTTATTTAAAGATGATTAAAAAATTTGTTTTGGAAAAAAAAATACTTTGATTCCAAAGTATACTCATAAAAATGTATCGAGGAAACTAAATTCATGTCAAGTCAAACAAGTATGTATTCAATAGGATATCAACAAGATAGTTAAATGACTCTTGAAGATTTTAAAAGAAAAATATTTTACTTGTGAAAAAAAAAAGAAAAAGAACTAAATAATTCACTATTAAAAGAATATAAAAATAGCAGAAGATAAAAGCATTACAGTGAATTATTATTTTTTTTATGTTTGTTATACACTATTGAAATAATAGAGAAACAACAGAATAAAAAACAAAGCTTAAACAGTGCAAGTTTATAAAATCAAAAATAAATAATATCTTATTACGGAAATCTTTCTAAAAATTTGAAGAACTCATTTTGAAATTTACGAAATTGTGCGTAATTTGAACGTTTTATGATCTCCATTTAAACTAAGATTTGTTTTAACTTGGCTGTAATTACTCTAATTAAATTTTTGAATTAGATTACTTCATTTGTATAATTTGTGGAAAATTTTGGTTTCCTTTTATATCAACTTCAGTGCTTCGTATGAATAAAATTAAAAATACTAATTTGAAATAGTTCTTAGGTTCAAACTAACTTGTCTTTACTTAAATATCATAAAAACATTATTGTCAACAAAAATTTACAAATAAAAGAAGAAAAAAAAACAAACAAACAAAAACGAATTTATAATTTGCAATAATAATAACTAAATTGAAAAATTGCAATTTACATTAATTAAATTAAGAAAATAAGAAAATGAATCTTGTTGGAGAAAATTAAACTAAGAGAATTAACCTAATCTTTTTAAGTTAAATGTTTACTTTAAAAAAAGTTCATATAATTATTTTATCTTTTACCTAAAATGACATGAGTACAATTGAATAATTAAAGAGATCAAATTTAATAAGATTTTAGCATCAAAAATTATAATATTTCCAAGTTAAGTTTTTTTTAACCCGTATGTGTCATTTAAATATTAAAGCTGGTAATTAAATAAGTAAAAATTATGATTAATAACAATATATTTGAAAATTAATAATTTATGTCGTATTTCTTTTATTTCAAATTAAGTTTTTGCGAAGTTAAAATTTTCTATCGATGCGAGGAAACAAAAAGGTAAAAAGAATATCCGATAACCATTAACAAATTATTTAAATTTATTGTAAGATACTAAAAGTCTAAAAGAGTAAACAAAGATACATCAAGATGGGGGGAAAAAAGTTAATTTGTTGACTGTCTTAGACCGGCAGTTCCCAATCTTTTTACTGCTACGGAACCCTAAATAATCGAGCATCTTTTTGTGGAACCTCAAATATATAAATGAAAATTTTGGCATGTGTGTACATACTTATCTGAGGAAGACTACCGATTATTTTGATAAATTTAGTGGAAATAATGAATTTTTTTCGATGGTTGTTTTACCAATAAAACTCTTAAAAGTAATAGATTTTATGTCAAACAACTAAAGTCGCAGGGTTGGAGTGGTATATAGTCTAGTTCTGAATTTGTTTTAAGTGTATACCTTTTCTGAAAATGAATAAAATAAGATGAATCCTAGATTTGAAAAGCTCTTAGAGACGTTGAGAATAGTTATCCGAGAAACATAATTCGTTATTCATAAATTTGGTCATTTTATTTTAAATTGAAAAATTCGACGACAAATACTGATGTAGTTTTTTTAAATTTTTTTAAAATAAATTTTGCTGCTTCTTTTTTTTACTGGCATTTTACTTAAATAATTTTATAAGAATAATCATAATATCAAATGAATTATGATTTATTGTTTAATATATAAATGTAATAACAAGTTTCAAAAATCATAACACATTTAAAAAAAATTAAATTCTCGTAATCCTAGGGACCTTTCAGGGAACGTAACCTCTTGGTTCACCATTTAGGGACCGCTGTTTTATAATGCGCTAGAATAAGTAGTGGGAAAATTGTTAGGAGTATTGTTAGCTTTTCCACTAGTGAAGTATACTTGCAGCAAAAACTCATTTACAGATTTTCTACAGTAGAGGAGCTAAACAGCTGGATTATTTGCTTATAGCTTGTTCATTCTCAAATTTTGTTCATTTTCAATTTGTTCATTTTACTTAAAATATGATAACTTCATACAAAAGTTGTTAATTTACATATTTCTTGTTCTGAAAAAAATAACTGCTTGAGTTATGTTCTAAAGTTTTTGATATCGTAATTGATAGTATTTTTTTTAAGGAAATTTAATTTCAAAAGAGCTAAGAAGTAGAAATTGTTTTTCAACTTTTGGCGATTAACTAGTAAAACAGAAGTCTAAAAGTGAAGATTCGTTAGTCAAATAAACGTGCAAAAATATAGGAGATTTTTTAAAGGAATGCTGACTTTTTAACTTTTTAATTTTCATTTGCAGATTAAATACATTTACGGATTTTCAATAATTACAGTAAAGTAACATTACAATAACATTTTACTTGGATTTCTTTTCAATGAATAAATTGATTTTCTTTTTAAAAATTGTAATATTTTATTCATATTTTCGAATGAAATAAATTTTTCTGGTTCTAAAAATATAGTATATAATCTTGAAAGTTTTAAAATCATATTGCTTGCAGTTCATTGTCTTTTTCTTTTTAACACGGAAAATATTTACCACGAATTTTCTAAACAGGTATATTTGTTGGAGATTTATAAGACCAAATTTAAATAAAATGTAAAGTTTAAGATTTATTTTAATTTTTCTTAATATTTTAAATTTTTTTAGGAATTAGTAAATGAATATTCTGCAAATAAAGAAATTAAGAAAAAAACCGATTAAAATCTTAATAAATTATGATGGAAATATTTTTTTATGAACTAGCAAACATTACTTATAACAAAAATTATTTACATAATTAAATACCTTTTTTTAATAAATATGCAAGCAAAACTGTATGGGTCATCTCAATTCTTGTATTTTCTACTCTCCTTTGCTTGTGAATAGCTTTCAACATGGACTGCTGCTAATTTTTTTTAAATCGCAAATTTCTTGAAGGATATATAAAGCGAAACAGTTGATGAGTTGTTGTACGGAAGAGTTCAGTTATGATTTTTTAACTTATTTTGGCTACCGATTACTAAAACTACTATGAACTCATTTATTGGTATTCAAAGCGAGAATTGTCAACCCTAAATGGATGTTCCAGCAAAAGAATACAATTACGCTGCCAAATCTTTAATGTAGCGGTTTTTTTGGATAATAAGGCAAATGGCATGAATGACCTACCCTTTCTCATGACCTTAATCCCCATGAAAACGTAAAGGGTTATCCTCAGTAAGATTGTATATACAAAAAAAAAAAAAAAAAAAAAAAAAAAAAAAAAAAAAAAAGCAGTTTTAGTCTCTGGTGAATTTAAAGACTGCCATCATTGAAACTTGACACAATGTAATGTCATTATTATCTTAGAATTGACAAACGGTATAAAAGATCACATATTTAATGTCATGTAAAAATATTACGGATATTTTGACTGTAATCAGAATAGGCTTTATTTCAATGAGACTCTTTTCTTCTTCTTTTTATTTATTCGACATTTTTTCTTCCAGTCCAGGTATAGCGGGAAGTGAGTAACTCCTTGTGAATACGTGTTTAGTTTTAAACTTTCATAATATATTTGTTTGATTTGTATAGAGGTTTTCCTTGAATCCAGTTATGGCTAAAAATCAAAACGGCTTTATTTAATTGGGATACACTGCAGATGTGATAGAATTTATATTGGATATTTTGATCATAAGTTTAAGTTATCATATTAAAATAATACATACTATTAAAAATAATTAATTATTTGAAGTCCATTAATTTAAAATTAATTTCAAATAGTAATGCAAAAACATATTATAATTTAAAATATAATAAAAATAGATATTTTGTGTATGTATATCAGAATTACTTGAAGTGAATATTGTCGTGTAATTGAAAAAA